ACTTTTTTGAAAATAAACTTATAATATTTATATTTCATGGAGTAATGTGTTTTGTAGTGCATAAAATAGGGTTAAAATTTAAAAGTGATCGGTCCAATAGTTTAAAAGTTATTTTATTTGTTTATCCCAAATTAACATTTTTTGCAACAATATAAGTCAGAAATTTATACAGTTTTAGAAATTGTAAGGGTTGTTTCTGGTAGAAGAAGACTTGTTTTATTATTTACATTAAAAAAAATTTAAAAAATTAATTTTAAATATTGCAAAATAATTTTGCAAAAACATGTCGATTTTTTGCTTATAAACAATTAGAATAACTTTTTAACCATTGACTGTAAAAATATTATTTTTACATATTTAAAAAGCTTGAATTTTTTCACAAATTTAAATAAAAAAAAGTTTGTCATAAAATAATTTGGTACAAAGTTAGCCTCTTTTTTTATTTAATTCATAGCACCTTTGTTTATAACAATTAAGAAATCTAATTAGCGCTATTTAAAAGAATATACATTATAGTCTTAAACCAATTAATTTTAAAATTATTGCCCTTTAATGGAATCCTCCACAAAGCTTCAAAATGTATGTAAAATCCGTCGGCTTTAAAACTCTCGGGAGCTGAAGGGAGGGGGAAGGCGCTGTTAACTGTATCTCTGTTCCTTTTTTATGTATTTCAACGTTTCTTTTTAAACTTGTATGTACTTTTTGCGTACATTACGAATATGCATTATTTCAATAAATAAATTGTCAAATAAACCACCTAATTTGTTTAAAAACAATTTTTTTTAAATTTTTTTAGTAGTATTTAAGTTAAGTTTGAATGTAAAACAGAAGTACTTGTCATTTCCTATATTTTGGGGAATAAGCCACAATTTAAGTTTATAATAAGTTTATTTTTGATGTTTCGGTTTCTACTTCGGAAATCTTTCTCAGAATGCAGAACATTAATAAGTTAATCAAATTTTATTTTTGGTTACTTGGTAGAAAATTTTTCTCTTTAGAAGTCTTTTGGCTGATTGATTAGTATGAGGAAACTCAGTAGATCTGTTATAGTAAAAATTACAATAAAAATTATTAACAAAAATTCTAGACAGCTTTAAACTCCTCATTTTAAAATTAGTTACAATCTTACAGGGTGTTCTATAAGATTGTGGCAGACCAAACTTATGTTTTTTTAAATAAAACACCCTGTATTTTATTTTAAATTTGAAATCTGCTACACTTCCACATCACAATAATGTAAAGTTTTATTATGTTATACCGGATATTTAAAAAGTTATAACCAATATTACCTGAAAATCGTATCAAGTTTAACTCCCTGTATAATTAAAAAGGAGTATAGGACCATTGATCTATTGCAACCACAGTTTTTTAATAATTGTTAAAAATTGTATAACATATTCGTTTTCGTAATATTCGTTAATTTAAATACAGGGTAAGTCAAAATGCAAGTACATTATTTTCTTGATAATTTTAAATAGAACACCCTGTATTTTAGTTACTATCGAAAAGTACTAATATCGTACTTTACATTTTATGGAATACTCCCTATACCTAAAGTTATCAATTTTCTAGATAAGTATTAATTTGGTAGATATTTGAACTTTTACCAATAATTATTGGGAGTTGACCATGATTGATTTGTCAGAAACTGACCGTTTGATATTATTGTTTTTTAATTCAGTAACGAGATTCGAGATCACAGAAAAGAAAACAATTTGTTTCAAATAAAATTTATAAAAAATAACCGACAGAAAATAAAAAAAATAACATCACATAAAAAAATAAAAAACAACTGTAATTTTAACTAATCATACTTAAGTAAGGTGTTCAAAATGACCTCCCAAAACATCTATGCATACTTGAAAGCGGTCATTGAAAGAGTTACTTATATTACTAAGCATTTGTAAAGAAATATTTTGAAATGCAATTCGGATTCTATTTTTATATCTCTTTTTGTTGAAGGTATTTTATATACTTCGTTCTTAATGTAACCCCAAAAAAATGAGTCCACTTTATTGAATTCTGGAGACCTTAGGCCACCCCTTAAGATCCATCTTTCACCAAACTGATCATTAAGTTCACCACGTACTAATTCGTTGTGGTACGCAGTAGCACCTCCATGTAGAAACCACATTTGTTCACGTATATTAAGTGGAACCTCTTCTAATAATATTTAAACAAATATGGTCCTACTACATGGTTACCCACGATACTTCCCCACACATTTAAAGAGTATCTTGTTTGACTATGTGTTACTATTTGGTATGGATTACTTGTTGAATAGTAGTGAAAGTTATTTATGCCTATTAACAGAATCGTTTCAGGGGAATGCAGCTTCATCACCAAATATGATATAATAAAAAAAATCTCTGTTCATTATTTTTTTTAAGGCCCATTCACAAAATACTATTCGTTTCTGAAAATCATCATCATTTCGTTCTTGGTGCTTTTGAATAGGATATGGGTGCATCTTGTTTTTAGATAGAATGTTTTGAACAGATTAGTAACTAAGTTCTTGCTTATTGGAAATACTCCTTATACTTGTGAGTGGGTTTTCTGTAACTGCCATCAACACACTCATTTCGTTTTCCTCTGTCACACTAGTTTTTTTTCGTTCATGTTTTTAATAATTCACTGAACCAGTGCGGTTAAATCGATCTTTCAATTTTTCAAATGTATCTTGTCTAGGTTGCCGCCTATCTGGAAACCGTTCATGATAAATTCTAGCTGATAGTAATGAATTTTTATTATATTCCCCCAATATAAAGATCATATTTATCTATCATTTCATCAGTAGTAAAATTCATTATTGCTAATTTAAATTAAATAAATTATTGAATTGCTAAATAATAATTGTTGCTAATTTACGATGTACCCCAATACTGAATTAATAAACAATAATGTCAAACTGTCAGTTTCTGACAAATCAATCAAGGTCAACTCACAATAATTATTGGTAAACGTTAAAATTTCTTTAAAATTTATACTTTGATAGAAAAATAAAAATATCTAGAAAACTAATAACTTTATGTATAGGGAGTAATAACAATTATTAAAAAACTATGGTTGCAATAGATCAATGGACCTATACTCCTTTTTAATTATACAGGGAGTTAAACTTGATACGATTTTCAGGTAATATTGGTTATAACTTTTTAAATACCCGGTATAACATAATTAAACTTTACATTGTTGTGATGTGGAAGTGAAGCAGATTTCAAATTCAAAATAAAATACAGGGTGTTTCATTTAAAAAACATAAGTTTGGTCTGCCACCATCTTATAGAACACCCTGTAAGATTGTAACTAATTTTAAAATGTCGAGTTTAAAGCTGTCTACAAGTTTTGTCAATAACTTTTTTTTGTAATTTTTACTAAAACAGATCTACTGAGCTTCCTCACCCTAATCAATCACCCAGAAGAGTTACCAGAAAAATTTTCCAACCAAATTGTCTACCAAGTAACCAAAAACAAAATTTGATTAATTTATTAATGTTCTGTATTCTGAGAAAGATTTTCGAAGTAGAAATCGAAACGCCAAAAATAAACTTATTAAAAACTTAAATTGTGGCTTATTCCCCAAAATACAGAAAATGACAAGTACTTTTGTTTTACATTCAAACTTAACTTAAATACTACTAAAAAAATTTAAAAAAATTGTTTTTAAAACAAATTATGTGGTTTATTTGACAATTTATTTATTGAAATATTGCATATTCGTAATGTACGCAAAAAGTACATACAAGTTCAAAAAGAAAGAAGTACATTTTGGAGTTTTGTGGCGGATTCCGTTTAATTGCAATAATTTTAAAATTTGGTAGTTTAAAACTATAATGAATATTCTTTCAAATAGCGCTAATTAGATTTCTTAATTGTTATAAACAAAGGTGCTATGAATTAAATAAAAAAAGAGGCTAACTTTGTACCAAATTATTTTAGGACAAACTTTTTTTTTTAAATTTGTGAAAAAATTCATGCTTTTTAAATATGTAAAAATAATATTTTTACAGTCAATGGTTAAAAAGTTATTCTAATTGTTTATAAGCAACAAATCGACATGTTTTTTCAAAATTATTTTGCAATATTTAAAATTAATGTTATTAATTTTTTTTAATGTAAATAATAAAACAAGTCTTCTTCTACCAGAAAAAACCCTTACAATTTCTAAAACTGTATAAATTTCTGACTTATATTGTTGCAAAACATGTTAATTTGGGATAAACAAATAAAATAACTTTTAAACTATTGGACCGATCACTTTGAAATTTTAACCCTATTTTATGCACTACAAGACACATCACTCCATGAAATATAAATATTATAAGTTTATTTTCAAAAAAGTTATTAACATTTATAAAAAACCGAAATTTTTGACTTATTTTGCAACTTTCTAAGCAACAAATAAGGTAGAAACATTTTGAAAACGCCATTTTGAAGGTTTTTATATACCGTTTTTGACCTTAATTTGTTAATAACTAAGTCCAAAAAATCGACTGCAGGAAACATATAGGTTTTTGTTACAGAGGTCCGTATTACTCAAAACAACTGTCGTTTGCCTGGCCGGACAAGTGTCATGATAAAATGCTTATTTCCCTGGGCTATCATTCTTAATGAATTAGATTATTTATACATGATATATTTTGACCAAAACGGTTTTGCTCAAACACTGATAATTTTAGTATATGAGCTAAAAACCGTTGTATTCCTCCCGAGGTCTGTAGAATATTTTGGTTAGATAGGCAAAAGATTCAAAAGAACAGTCATCTATATAATAGATGTAAAACAAATAATATAATTTATAAATCTATTTCAATCAATTCTATATACACGTTCTTCACGTTTTCTAGTTGTTTTCGTAATTTTTTAAATTCGGGTAGGTAAATACTTTGGTTAATTACCTTTTTTCTTATAATTTTTGGTACTTAAATGATTAAAATGAGTTACGAGTTATTTATCAAACACTGCCTATAATAAGGTTTTTAGTAAAATACATTGCCTACCTTTGTGATATTCTTTGGAAACCTCTTGGTTGCATAGCTTGTATACTATAAGCATTATCACACAATAAGCGTGAAATACTAGCCTTACGAATTTCATTGAGTTGAGCTGCATTTAATCCACTAGCTACGTTTTCAAAGAAAAATCTGTCACCTTTTCTGGTTCTGTAAAACTGTTCGGTCAAAATGCATAAGAAAGTTGGTCCCGCTAATGTTCCGGGAATGTGAGCTTCTAAGGATCCACCAACTGTCAGATCTATGTCATCAGGACTTTCGTAAAGAGTCGCAAGCTTCTGCACATTCTAAAAAAATAAAAAATATTGGATTGCTATTTTTTATCATATATATATATATATATATATATATATATATATATATATATATATATATATATATATATATATATATATATATATATAGTAAACTCTTAAATATTGGGGAAATCTGCAAAAAACTCTAATGTGTATCAATTATTTCATCTAACGTTTTCGCCAAAGAGAATTAATTTGGCTTCTTCGGGGCTGAAAGAGAATAAATTATAATTAGCTACCATATATTATCTAATAAAAAATATTTACCTTACCGTAAAATTTTAGAAATGTCGAGTTATGATGTTAAAAAACTTTAGCTAGTAACAACATAGTGGTGTTTTTTTGTTACTATGTGCAAAAAAGTTTATTTGTTAACGTTGGACATGGAAGGATAGCTTTGAACTTAAAACGCAAAGGTTTATCCAAGGACAATCGAAAAACCCAATGTAACTACATTTAAAGGAAGTAATTCTTTTAATTGTGTGTCGGCAATAACTAAATTTTTAATTGTTGTAAAGTTTGAATGTGAGCTTCTGTTTTCATAGAACGCAAGCGCCGAACAATTGCAAGTAGTACTTTTGATATCTATGTCGTTAAGGTTCATTGGTAAAACCGATGAAGTTAGATCCCAGTCTGGGGAGATATTAGTTTAGAATTTTCTTAATTGAAATTCTTTTTTTAATTAGTATATTGTTCATGTATTATTATAATAATATCTTATTGAGATGTATCTAAGAAAAGCAAGGGAATGTTATCTTTTTTGTTAATGAAAATTATTATTAAAGTACGTTAGTTGTTAATAGATATATCAGTCAAGTTAGTTATCTGTGATGTTGTATTGTTCTTGGTATCTGATTTAAGTAAGAAGTGGTATATATCGCTTAGATTCTTAATGTCACTCTTAACATTGATGGAAAAATCGTTAAGGAAAATATAAGACATTTCAATGAACTCTCTTTTAGATATATTGTTCTCACGGTGGAGAATTGTAGTGTTCGTATAGTCCATATGATGACCAGTGGAATGGACATGTTTGGCTAATGCACAGCGGTCAGGGTGAAGTCGATGAAGTCGGGTGAATACCGGTGTGCATTAGCCAAACATGTCAATTCCACTGGTCATCATATGGACTATACGAACACTACAATTCTCCACCGTGAGAACAATAAATCTAAAAGAGAGTTCATTGAAATGTCTTATATTTTCCTTAACGATTTTTCCATCAATGTTAAGAGTGACATTAAGAATCTAAGCGATATATACCACTTCTTACTTAAATCAGATACCAAGAACAATACAACATCACAGATAACTAACTTGACTGATATATCTATTAACAACTAACGTACTTTAATAATAATTTTCATTAACAAAAAAGATAACATTCCCTTGCTTTTCTTAGATACATCTCAATAAGATATTATTATAATAATACATGAACAATATACTAATTAAAAAAAGAATTTCAATTAAGAAAATTCTAAACTAATATCTCCCCAGACTGGGATCTAACTTCATCGGTTTTACCAATGAAACTTAACGACATAGATATCAAAAGTACTACTTGCAATTGTTCGGCGCTCGCGTTCTATGAAAACAGAAGCTCACATTCAAACTTTACAACAATTAAAAATTTAGTTATTGCCGACAATTAAAAGAATTACTTCCTTTAAATGTAGTTACATTGGGTTTTTCGATTGTCCTTGGGTAAACCTTTGCGTTTTAAGTTCAAAGCTATCCTTCCATTTCCAACGTTAACAAATAAACTTTTTTGCACATAGTAACAAAAAAACACCACTATGTTGTTACTAGCTAAAGTTTTTTAACATCATAACTCGACATTTCTAAAATTTTACGGTAAGGTAAATGTTTTTTATTAGATAATATATGGTAGCTAATTATAATTTATTCTCTTTCAGCCCTGAAGAAGCCAAATTAATTCTCTTTGGCGAAAACGTTAGGTGAAATAATTGATACACATTAGAGTTTTTTGCAGATTTCCCCAATATTTAAGAGTTTACTATTTAACTTATCTGCAAAGATTAAATTTCTTTTCTATATATATATATATATATATATATATATATATATATATATATATATATATATATATATATATATATATATCATCATCACAGTCATTAACATCTTAGTAGATGTGTTGTGGTTCATAATTGGGCTTCAGCAGCTCGGACAGTTTGATTGATAATATTTCTCCACTGGTCGCGGTCATCAGTTATATGTATTGCCTCAGTATATTGTTTATTGAGAAGCTTTTTAGTAATGTCCGCCCATCACTGTGGAGATCTTCCGCGTTGGCGTTGAGTCTGAGGCCTTTCTTGGACCACCAACCGCTCCATTTTGTGATCACTTCGATGGATATGGCCAAAGAACTTTAAAATTCTAGAGTAAACGGTACTGGAGAGACGCTGATCCGGTTTAATTTCATCCAGAACCGAGATATTTGTACGGCGAGCCGTCCATGGAATTCGAAGCAGGCGTCTCCATGTCCACATTTCAAAGGCGTCTATACGTCGTCGATCTGATTCTTTGACTGATATATATATATATATATATATATATATATATATATATATATATATATATATATATATATATATATATATATATATAGTATAGGTAAAAGTTTATGGTCGGTATGGACCTTACCTGAGATGGAGTGAGAAACACCTGTTTAAAAAGAGGGAGGTATATTAGGTCCGCCCTTTATATCGCCGAACATGCATGCATGGATATAATAAAAAAGGGGAAGTTCAACATTGCCAAACTTATTGGTTTTATATGACCTGTTGTCTTTATAGCATTTGAACAATGTCCTAAGATAATCAAATTTGGGTGCAATGTTTTTAAATGGCAGCTTACTGTTTTTTATTGGAAATATGCTACAATTTTACCTATCGAAATTTACATTTTGATTTATCGAAATTGTTTAATATAAATAAAATTTATTAATGTTTCGTATTTTAAGTACGATTTTTGAATTAAAAATCTAAACATCAAAATAAGCTTATTTTAAAGTCACCTTATGCCTTATTCTCAATATAAAATAATAAACTGCATATAACGCCACAATAAGAAAAGCTTCATACAAAATTATTTGGAAACGTCTGTCTGGTCAAAGTACCGAATCAAAGTAAGGATACAGGTAACGAGTAGTAGAGGTAGGTCGTTGACGTTTTTATCGTTAAGAGTGTACGCGCAAAATTTAGGGCCAATGCTTTTTAAATACATTCATGTTTTTCAAATCCTGAGAGAAGTAATAAATATTTTTGAAAAATTTAAACGCAGAATAAAAGGGGCCGAGGGCCAAAAGTCCCTGAAAATTTCTATAATGTTTATTTTAATAAGTTTTAGGGGTGAAAAAAAAAAATAGAGAAAATTTAGTGTGACTTTTAATTTCAAATATCTCATTCAAAAAACTTTTTGTTTATTCTAAGGGACTTTCGGCCCTCGGTAATAATGTAATCTTTCATTATGCGTTTAAATTTTTCAAAAATATTTGTTAGTTTTCTTAGGATTCCAAAAAAAAAATGAATGGATTTAAAAAGCATTGGCCCGAAATTTTCCGCCTACGCTCCCAACGCAATTAAACCAATTTTTGTAAACAAGTAACTATGATTGTTTAACAGTAGTCTCAAGTTAGAGAGTACCTACAAAAACAAACATATTGGCTATTATCGTTTATGTGTATATTGATTTTTCTACTTTACTTCTTGTTAACCGTGTTCTTTTTTTATTTAAAATTAAACCAGATTTTGAACATTGTTTACATTTACAATACTTTATGAATATAGTGGTTAAGTTAGGATTTACATGGCAATGGGTTTTCCACCATTGTAATGGACTCTCGATACAGGTGTACCTACGTTTAGATGAGTCATCTCAAATTAATTGATCAAAAATACACCATGGACTTAAGTCATCTTTATCGGTTTCTTTTGTTTGTACTGGTTGATTTTCAATAGTACAATCTTCTTGTTCTTTAATTATAGAAGTAAACAGCTTCTTAACTCTTTCTTTTGTTTTTTAGCTTCATTTTTATTAGAAAATCCCTGTAGTTTAAATCATGAATCCATAAATGTACATAATGACAATATGCCACTTTGTTCTATCCCTCTAAATCTTTTTGCTAAACTCGATATTAGTAATTGTACTATGTCGGATACTATGGATGTAAGGTTACCGTTTGCTAAAATTTGATTGCAAGATTCTTGCAGGCAGTATTCCATAACAATCACTGAACTACCCTTGAAGTATTTTTGGCCACTCATTGTACTATTTCTTTAAAAGGCCGTAAAATTTGGGAAAGTTGAGAACAAATAATCCAGTGTTCATTATTTAGATTTGGTCTAAGTCTAAGTCTGTATTAACTAATACCAATGTGGACCAGATTGCCTCTTCTAACTCGGTCATTCTTTTTAACATGTAATAGGTGAAGTTCTACCTAGTTTCCACATCTTGGATTGGCCGTTTGGGAACTTTGTTATGTTTTAATTGATACTTTAAAAGCCTTTCTGAAGATAAGGTACTTATTTTGAAATGGGTTTTTTGAAGAATTGTCGAAAAAAGGACTTTTTATTTTATCTATTTGTACACGACAGTATTTAGGTGCGTCCTCCACCAATAAATTTAACGTATGAGCAAAACAATTTAAATGTTTTCATTCCAAAACATCTTTAATAGCTTTGACCATATAATTTAAGGCATTATCAGTTACTGTAAAATTTACTTTTCGTTTTAGACCCCACTGATTAATAATTTCACTAATTTCAAAAGCGATGTTTTCTGAATTATGGTCTCCAAAAAAATGGCAGCAGCCTAATAAAACCGTTTTAAATTCTAAAACGGTAATACTGTCTCAGTTACTCCAGACGTCCAGGGTTCAGTAGTAGTACAGATATTTTCTACTTCTTTAACAACTTGTAATCTAATAATTTGCTCAGTTTTGATATAACATTCCTGAATTAATGAACCTAACAAAGTTTTTCTTGTTAGCGGTTTATATCCAGGAATCCACCCTACAAACTTTTTAAAAGCTCGTTCTTCAACTATGAAAAACGGATGAAACGAGTCTTTGCATAGGTTTAGAAATCCATATCTATTTGTTTCTTTTGTTTTAAACTAATATTTTTATTAATGGAAGTATCTATCACCTTTTGACGCTTGGGTAGCGGTGGCAGTATGTCAGTAGTTGTAGTAGAAGTAGTCGAAATGGACAGAAATGCGCGAAGAGAAGTTTCAATCATTGCAATATTCAGAAAGTGGACCATAAAAGCTGCATTTTCTACAAATGTGCATTTTTTGAAAATAAAATTATTATTCTTATACTAGGTCAATAATTTTGACTAAGAAAAAGAATTCTGAATTGAATATTTACAATAAATATTCAATTGTTATTATAAAAATTCTTTGTTATTAGTTCAAGACCGTACGCAAAGACAGGCAAGATACAAGACTAAACTCATAGACTCATTGGTCTTATTTTATGGAATATTTACATAAATTTATAGAAAGAAAATATTGCATTGGAGAATGTCATATTACGGATGACGACGAAATTACACCTTTTACAAATTAAACTCTCTGTTGTTTTAAATAAAAAGTGAATTATTTAAATTTAAATATCTTACCTGGTCACTAATAACATCCAGAAAACCTTCGAAAGTATGAGCCCTTGTTAATCCACAGAATTGTCTATAATCGTTGTAACTAGCCAAACCATGATCCCTATTTCTTTGAATATCAAATGATTTAAGATCTTGTCCAAATGGTTGACCGGCACGGAAGAGAAACTGGGTAATCTAATGCAGAATTGAATACATATTGACTGATAATTTTTTAAAGGTATAATTAATCTAACTAACCTCACTAGTATGATATTGATCCGCAGCCAGTTCTGGTTGAGTATTAAGACCTCTAGCAAGTTCGGCGAAGTTGTCGCCCTCTTCTAGTATTTGAGGACGATTAAACCAGTCACTCAAACGGAGGCTTCCGTAACTTGTCCTTTCTTCTGTGACTAAACTGGAAGTAATTAAAAATATTTTTTAAATTTGCCTGGTGTACAAAGTATTTTGATGGTAAATCATTTAAAAGAGATACATTATATATTTTTCTACATAATAAGGGTAAAGTGATTTTTATTTTTACACGTAATAAAAAAATTAGGAATTCAAACATTAAAGTCCAAATCTAAATGATCAGAATGTATAACAGAACAATGCTTTCCAAAGTGACCCTATACCCATTCATATATAAAAATAACATTTTTAGAACTTTTATTTTTTACGAATTTGTGATAGGTACTAAGCATTAATTAGTAAATATTAATAAACAATGAAATTACATAGAAACCCGAACAACCATTCTAATTTAAAATATTCTAGAGTATTTTGTACCATTATCATGGTGCTACAGCCCTTAAAGGGCCTCAACGTTCTCAAGCTTTTTGCGCCATTCTGCTCTCTATATTGCATGGATTTTCCAGATGTCAACAGCGATCTTCTCAGTAGTGTTACGCTGTACATCCACCTCAGTTTTGGCAGAGAACATCTGGTTTTGGTCTAATCCGTCTTGTCATTCCCACAGGTTAAGCAGTTAAAATCTTTTTTAGTCTGTTTGATTCCGGGGCCGGGGCTGGATGTCCTGTCCACAGCAGACGGTTTCTCTTGATTACAGTGGTAATATACACTCACCGGCAAAATTAACGGAACACCTTAAAAATGGGACATGTTAGATGACTCGAATTTCCTAAACCTGTTGTCCGATTTTAGTGATTTTTTTAGTATGTTATAGGTATATTATTTAAGAATATCAATAAAATAATATTGTTGCTAGACAGGTCAACGTCATTTTATACCGGGTGTAACAATCATACTGTGTTTTTTCCTTAAAGTTCGAAACACCCTGTGGAATATTCTAGCATATATAAAATATTGAAATTAAAGCTCAATTATAGCCTCAGGCTTTCTTAACATTTTCTTTTTTGTTTCATTTGCTTATGTTGGATAATAAAAAAGTTAGGTACGTTAACAACTAGTCATGTTTTTCATCAATAAATGCTCATTTTCTTCTTAGTTTCACCAGCATATTTAAAGGTACAACCATAAAATCTGAGTATTTTCTCTCTAGTCTATATACTGTTTAGACAATATCATAATACGAATGTTGGTGAAGTATTTTGAATTTATATTACAATGGTAGTACAATATAAAACCTGTTTAAGAAGAAATAAAACACAAAGATGTCTGACTCAACAAAATACGGATTTTAAATGCATTAACTTTATTGTACAGTTTGAACTTAAATTGTTTTTTTATGCATTTTTTTGGCTTTAATAGCGTGTGTTTCCCCTACGAGCCCTTACAACTGCAGTTATTCGTCTTCTCATACTTCTGATAACGCTATCGATCAGTTGTTGGGAGCCTCTCCCATTCCTCAATCTTTTGCAATTGTGACTTTTTCTCTGTTTTGAATAGCAGGAACCCGTGCCCTAAGTTTTCTGCCTAGCATGTCCTACATATCCTCTATCGGGTTTAGGTCTGGGGAACAAGCTGGCCAATTCATCGTTGTTATACTCACTTGTAATAAGAAATATCTTACACTTATACTCTTACACTATAAAATAAAATTTTCGCCAATATATGGTGAAAAAGGTACCACATGGTCTTGGAGAATATCTCTGATATACTTATCTGCTGTTAATGCTCCACCATCAATCAGCACTAACTCTGTTATTGCTCCCAAACATATACCGCCCCACACCATAATTGAACCTCCACCAAAAGGTACGGTCGTAGTAAAATTGAAAGGGGCATTTCGTTCTCCTTGGCGTTAATACAATCTTTCTCTACCGTCGATGTAATTTACACAGAAACGGCTCTCGTCCGTAAAGAGAATTTGACTCCAGTGGTTATCATTCCAATTTTGATGTACTCGACCAAATTGTAGTCGTGCTAAACGATGGTGTCTCTGGAGTCTGGGAGCTTTTATTGGCACATATGACTTGAGACCGGCTTCTTTAAGTCTCTTTCTTATTGTGCGCTCAATTAAATACAAGTTTGTACTTGTTATGAACAGACAGAATGACTGTAAAATGTAAAACACAATACAAATAAACAAATTAATTTGACATTTTGACATTTAAGACTTTCTTGTGACAAGGAGCTTTCAAAGCTATGTAGATATAGTCTATAAAATATAAATATAAAGAAATATTGCATTAATAACAGGTTCCTTTAAATTTGCCGTTGTGTGCAATAAATTGTTAACTTCTCATAGCCTACTTTAGGCTTGTTTTTAAACTAAGCAGAAAATAAGGATTTATTGATGAAAAACATGGCTAATTGTTAACGTACCTAACTTTTTTATTATCAAACATAAGCAAATGAAACAAAAAAGAAAATATTAAGAAAGCCTGAGGCTATAATTAAGTTTTAATTTCAATATTTTATATATGCTAGAATATTCCACAGGGTGTTCCGAACTTTAAGGAAAAAACACAGTATGATTGTTACACCCGGTATAAAATGACATTGACCTGTCTAGCAACAATATTATTACATCGATATTCTTAAATAATATACCTATAACATACTAAAAAAATCACTAAAATCGGACAACAGGTTTAGGAAATTCGAGACATCTAACATGTCCCAATTTTAAGGTGTTCCGTTAATTTTGCCGGTGAGTGTATTTTCCAATAAACTTATGCTTGTGGATATTCTGCAGTTCAAAGTTATATCTACACTTCGATATTCCGTTCTCATAGACGGTTTTGAATATCTTGCATAGTACCTTTCTTTAAAAATTGAGAGAGAGAGAGAGAGAGAGAGAGAGAGAGAGAGAGAGAGAGAGAGAGAGAGAAAGAAAGAGAGAGGATTCATATGAATCGGTTAATGTCCATATCTATGATTCATATGTGAGAACCGGGACCATCAGTGGTCAATACTGCCGTATACGAGTTTTTTGAGACATACGTTTGTTGGCTAAGACCTTTAATATATCATAATAACTAATGTATATACAGAAACTTATGGAATGTGCACACTTGAAGATATTTTATTACGTTATTTGATCTAAAAGTATATTCCCATAAATTCATTAGGCAACAATAACAGTCTGTCACGTGGTTTTTTTGTTTTTTCTGTAAAGAAAGAAAAGCAAGAGGTTTTCGAGATTCGTTCTCGACATTGACAAGATATACAGGGTGTTTAAAAAAAAAGGAACCCCGTCTCTAGGGTAGGTAAAAAACTAAAAAATAATTGGGGTTTACTTAGTAAAAAATTTTTGTAGCGTTATCTGTTTTCAAAATACAGGGCGTTGAAGACAAAAAATTTACGCATTTTTTACGATTTTGCCGAAACTACTGGCAACATTGTAATAAAATTTTATACGAATATGTTTTGGAAGCTGATACATCCCATGAATTTGTTTTTATATCTGATTCTTATAGAGGGCGCTAGTTACACGGATCGTACTAAGTATTAGTCAATATAACTTTTTTAAGAGTATAATTATAAATAAAAATTTCAAGTATACTTAAACATCATTCAATTTTACACGAAAAAGGTACTCTTGGTAAAACTCGATACTGTGTACCGTTTTCGGAATATTTTGGTTTGGAAATTATGAAGTAATAATTGATGCTGGTAGTAATGATAAAGTTCTAATAGGTATCTATACTTCTACTTTCTCCAAGTGTGCCATGGGAATCTGACATTTATTGATTGTTATGACGATAAATCAACAATAATTAGAGTTTTAAAACCTTATTATTTGTAAAATCAAATCAAAATGTAGTACTCAAATGTTGAATACACTAACATATTATTAACCTTAGGCGAATGTTTAGGATGTTCTAGTGCAGCTGTGACACGTTATGCAGAAAAGTTTCCTAGAAGAAACTTACCAAGTAAAAAAACATTTAGGGCCGTTGAACGACGTTGTCAAGAAACTGGGAATGTGAGACCAAATAAAATAAATTCTTGTAGACCAAGAACAACAAGAACAATTAATAAAGAAAATAATATTTTACATTTACTTGATCAAGATTAAACAGTTAGCGTAAGGAATATAGCAAGACAAACAAATACTTCTTCTTCAAGTACTTGACGGATACTGAAAAAACAACAATTACATCCTTATCATTACGTCCAAGAGCTCTTGCCAGATGATCTACCGGTTAGAGTGGATTTTTGTGAAACATTGCAACAAAGGACAGCCCACAATCCAAATTTTTTAAAATGCATTCTTTTTGCGGACGAGGCCACCTTTACGCGACAAGGTATGTTTAACTACCATAATACACACTACTTTTGTGATGAGAATCCACGAGTCAAAAGGGTAACACATTACCCACACTCATTTAAAGTTCATGTTTGGGCAGCAACTTTAGGTAACAAATTAATAGGCTATCATATTCTACCTGAAAACTTAAATGGTGATATGTATCTTGATTTTTTAAACAATTCCTTATATTAGAAGATTTAACGCTAAACGAGTGAAGATCTTTATTTTTTATGCACGATGGAGATCCACCACACTTTGATAGAAGGTGTCGTAATTGGTTGAGTAATCATTTTCCGAATCGATGGATTGGTAGAGGTGCAGAAGCTCCGATTCATTGGTCTCCTCGGTCATGCGATTTTAACCCTTTGGACTACGCAGTTTGGTAGTATATTTGGGAAAAAGTCTATGCTACAGAGGTAAATTGACGCCAAGAATTGGAGGAAAGAATTGAACGTCAATTTAATGACATCATAGCTGATCCCCTACCGTTTAAAAGGTTAATGGAATCTTTAGAAAAAAGAATAGACTTATGTATTCGCGAAAACGGAGGGCATTTTGAAAATTTACTGTAATTGAATTTTATTTTATATTCATAGTCATTAATTTAATTTTTTTCTTGTGAGTTTTGTTTAATTACTCACTATTTTATATCAGCATCAATTATTACTTCATAATTTTCAAATCAAAATATTCCGAAAACGGTACACAGTATCGAATTTTACCAAGAGTACCTT